CATAAAGTTAAAATTATACAATTATACTTAACTGGTAGCAGTAGTGGACATAGTTAAAGCTCGAGAATAAACAACAAAAAATTGATACACATGAGGTTGCTCCTAATATTTTTTTCATGTGATTAAATATGTATATCATATGATTGTTCCTTGTAACCTTTTCATTTTCCCACGAATTTTAGCAGAATAATTAATATATATATATTGCATTATTACAAATAAAAAATCAAGGCAATAGATTATTAGTGATTGCAATATTTATCTCCACGATTATTATGCATCAAATTGTGTGCATATATCGCCGATAATTGACAATTTCCCATGTATCACTTGAAATTTGTTTGTTACTTAATTTAGATGTAATAGTGAAGCTAGTGTCAAGGCACATATGGTCCTATTTCGGAATCAATAGCACTTTGACTCTGCATCACGTTCTCGAACACATAATAGAAACGTGCTACGTAATACGTAAAAAATTGATCTGCAATAAAAAATCTGATTATCGTGATCGCGGTTTATAAATGCAGTGCATCAGTATATACTAGTATAAAGAGCTAAAAGATGATATATATTTCATTTCTGTATAATCAATATTTGTTGAGATATTTGTCAAACATCTGTGAATACCATAATTAATTTTAGTGTATTTTTTTTAATTTGTTATTTATTGATTATTAGTGCGATTGGAATACCTATCCTGAAAATATTTAGTAAGTTTGATAATCATGGGAGTGATTGTATTTTCACATATATTAATCCTTCAAGAGATTCAGGTTATTAGACATAAGTCAATATTTGGGAGATAATAAATCAGCGATCTTTATCTTTGGAAAAGACTGGTTTATAGTCGTTTTTCCTTTCTATTTAGTCAAGTCCGACAAGAAAGAGAAGATATTAAATATTCTACTAAAGATAATTAATATTTGTTTATATTTTACTAATCACATTTAATATATAATAAATTGGTTCCAGTAATACTATTAATAGTAAAAAATCACTGATATCGCTTTTATAATATACTATCCATCTATATTATTTGGAATCCTTTTTTGGATCCTCTTTAAGAGAGACAATTTTATTTAAAACTATTTTATCCTGCCAATTACTACTAGGATCATCTAAATTTGAATCTTTATCAAGACAAAAATAGCCAACCCGAATAGCTTGAAATCGAACAGATTCAAATTCATTTTTAGAATTCTTTAATGTACGTGAAAAAATTTCCCGTAATCCAATTTCAGCCAATGAATTTGATGTAATCTCAAGACTGTTGGGATTTATATCAGCCAAGAAACCATTTGGATGTGCGGTGGGATTTTCGGAAACAAAAAGATTGTTATAAATCCTTATTTCATGAAGACGAATAGGTGAATCATGTTTGATAGATTCAGCTACCCATTGAATATGAGTTTTTGGTTTCTTTTTATCACTTTCATTTTCATAACGACAGGACAATTGAATAATATTGCCTTTATCATCCTTTTTGACACCAATGCAAGTAATAGAATATGGCACATGTAAAAGACCAACAGATTTTCCCATCGCAAGTCGAAAATAATCAGGAGAGTCATGTTCTCTAAAATCTGATCTATCGATATAAATAATCTTACCAAATGGAACTTTATGCTGTTTAAAATAATAAATAATAAGTTAATAATAAATAATAAGTAAATAATAAGCAAATAATAAAGTATAAAATACTTACTTCACCCATAGCGGGGTCTTTAGGTTTAAAAGGAACAACAAATTCTTCGAAATAATCATTAGGTAAATTCTCAAGTACTATCTTGATAGGATTTACAATTATCATTAATCTTGGAACATGCAAATCTAGATAATCCCTAACATATTTCTCAAATCGAGAAACTTGAATTGTTGAATTTGATGTCGTGACACCTAAATCTTGAACAAATCCATTAATTGCTTCGGGAGGAACTCCACGTCTACGTAAAGCAGGAAGTGTATATAATCGAGGATCATCCCATCCTTTTACATAATCATCATTGACAAGTTTTGCAATCTTACGTTTTGACATAATGGTATTTTTGATATTTAATCTATTAATACATTTAATACCAAAATTTTAATATGTTTTCGTAAACAAATAAACAAATAAACTAAATTTAATTTAATATGTTATAAATTTACCTATTATATTCAAATTGCACCGGTTTGTAAACTTCTACAGCATCACAAAGCCAATAATAAGATTCTCTTGACATTCGAAACTCAAGAGTACATAATGAATGAGTGATATTTTCGAATGAATCACATAAACAATGTGTATAGTCATAAGTTGGATAAATACACCATTCATCTCCAGTTCGATGATGTGGGGTATAAAGGACACGATATGCTACTAAATCCCAAAATTGAGGATTTCCGCTTTGCATATCCATCTTCATACGTAAAGTAACTTCACCTTCCTTATATCGACCTTCTTTCATTTTTTGAAATTCAATTAATGATTCTTCAATTGGACGATTACGATGTATACATTCATTTCTTTCACCTCCACTATCACCTCCACGCATTTCATGCATTTCTTCTGGTGTACAAGAACAAGCATATGCCTTATCACGTTTTATTAATTCAATTGCCAAATTATATAATTTATCAAAATAATCAGATGAATACGTGATTTTATATGGCGTAAATCCTAACCACTCTACAGCTTGTTTTATAGAAGTAAAATATCGTTCCTCCTCAGCTAAAAAAAATATAGATAAACAAATATATATTAAATAAAATAATAATAATAATAATAATAACAACAATAATAATAATATAAATTAATCCAATTAAATACAATACCTTCAGGATTGGTATCATCATACCTGAAAAGTTTTTAATTTTAATGATATATTTAATTGATTTTTTAAAGAAAAATTATTTAAAATATTTAAAAGATTATTAAATTTAAAGATTACAAACCTAAGATAACATAAACCATTGTGTGCTTTTGCATATCCAAAATTTACATTAATTGCCTTCGCGTGACCAATATGTAAATATCCATTAGGTTCAGGTGGAAATCTAGTTATAACTTTACCGCCGGTTTCCTTGAGATGCTTTTCCATTAATTCAGGTTTAATTTGTTTATTACCTCCGGGTTTATGAAGTTTGGAAAGTTCTCCTTCTAAAAACATAGAATTTTTTTTTGAATCATCGGGTAAAGGTGGTAAAGATGGTAAAGGTGATGATGTTGATGACCTTTTTTCTCTTTTATCTTTTTGATTATTTATCGTAGATTCCTTATCTTTTTTCTTTTATTTCACAAATAATTCAAATAAAAGATCACAGTAATTACCATCTAGTCACTGGAACAATATTTTAAAATATCAGCAAATAAATTAATCCAACATACTTTTCCACCTTTAACCACCAAATCTCTCTCGTCTTTAGGACCAATTATTGTGATCACCTGTTTTTCCAGTTCATTTTTTATATCAACACCATTAGCCCATCTTAATTCGGGAATTTGTTTTGCTTTAGCAAGTAAAGATCCCAATGATTTATATCTCTCCTTGATAAGTATATTACGATTGGTCTCAAGGTGTGTTGTAATTGATGTAGCAATTTGTTCGTGACTTATTACAACGCCTATAAATGATTATATGATTAAAATTTAAAATAATGATTGTGATAATGATAAAGCTAATTTAATTACCAATTCCACAAGCTTTGTTAAATTCTTCTTCATTAATTTCTTCTTTTGAATTCTCAGCAAACTTTATGGCAGCTAATTATGCATATCCAATTCCATGTCACGTAAAAAATATTTTAACAATAAACAATGTTTTAAGGAATGTTTAAAGGAAATAAATTCGCAAGTTGCCTACCAGCAACCTGATCTGAACTTTTTAATTTATTGTTACTAATAGCACGAGCAAGATAACCCAAGTGATGTGAAGCGTCCTTGTTCACAGTCGAAGCAAGTGTATAAAGTAATGCACCTACGGATTTATCACAAACATTTTGAATAAAACCAGCTTCGATAATAGTCGATTCTAAAGTTGGTGCAAGTTTTTTATTTTTAGCGGTATCTTTGGCACGTTGTTCAGTTAAACCAATCTTTTGAAAAAGAGTAATCAATTCGCTATTATTATTATCAGTCATTTTGGGATTTTGAATTTTTTTTTTTTAAAAAAAAAAATCGATCTTAATAAATTCTTCACATGATTCTTTCATCCTTATTTAGTTCTTAATATTCCATCTAAATTTTCCGATTTGCAGTATTTCATCCTTTTTTACCTTTAGAACTTATTCAAAATATAAATATAATAAATTTTTGGAAAATGAGAGGTTTCCGAGGGATTAGGAATTCACGAAATTATATTCAATTGAATGAGGATGGCGGGTACACTGATGCACAATTTAGAAGACCCGTACAACCAAGTTAGAATAAAAATATTCAGTTTCTTCATATATTTTATTAACATATTATTCACGATGTTATTAATATTATTATCTAGTTCCATGGAATTCTATAATTCTAGCTTCAGTATTATTTGTTTTGGGTTCATTGGGCATTATTTTGGGATCACTTATTGAGACAGGAATTATTTCTAATCAAGTGAGAATAATTTTTATCAATAAATATTATATTCCATTTTAATATAAATAATAATATAATATTATATTTCATTTTAATATAATAATAATATTATTGTATTTAATTTATATTTCATTATGAAATTCAGGATTGGCTTGATAGAGGAAATCCATTGCTTTTTCTAGGATGTTTATTATTTATACCTGGTAAAAAAAATTTAATTAAGATTAGAAGAAAATCTGTTTTTTTAAAGTATTTGAAAAAAAGTGAATTAATTAATTAATTTATTTATTTTTGTTAGGATTTTATCACGTAAGACTTGCATATTATGCATATAAAGGTTATGATGGATATGACTTTGATCAAATTCCTGAGTGGTGAAAATTGTGAAAATATTGTATAATTTCATATTATTATTTTATCTCATTATTGGTTAATGTAATTTTTACAAGTTGTATATTATATAATAATCCTTTTGTATAATTTCTTTTATTTTACCTTTATTATTATATCATTATTTTTTATGTTAATTTAAAGGAAATCATTTAAGATCATGAATAATTTCTTTATTTCCTTTGAATTTGGTACATTTTATATGTTATTTAATTATTATAAATAATAAAGATAATACAAATAAGTCTAAAAATACAATTAATAAAATTAAAAATTCAATAATTGCCATATTTTTTATATTTTTTATATATTTTTATATTATATATATTTTACATTTTTTTATATTTTTTATATATTTTTATATTTTTATATTTTTTTATTTCATTATGATCATCAAAATGATTTATATATTCATTATCATCCCGAGATGAATCCAATGCAAAAATGGGTCCACCGGAACCTCCTACCAGCAATAAAACACTTAAAAATAAAATTAATCTTAGAAGTCTTCTATTTTGAACTTCTTCTTTTAATGATTCCTCTTTGTTAATATTATTTAATCTATCCCGTTCCGCCGCTGCTTTAGCTCTTCTTAATTCTTCTCCATAATGTCTTTGATAATGTTCATGAAAATTAAATTTTAAATTTGGTCTCTGATGTTGATGATTACTATGAACTCCGGAATTTTTTCTTCTTACTTTAGGTCGAAAATGATGTGAAGAATAATGAGTCTGTGGGTTTGCTGGATTTCTATATCGAATTGACTTTTGTATTGAACGATCGTATTCTTTCCTACTTTGATCGTTAATCAATACGGAATATGCTTCGCTAATTAGTAAAAACTTTGAATGTGCATTTTCATCATTCAAGTTTACATCCGGGTGATATTTCTTTGATAATTTATAAAATTGTGATTTAATTAATTGCCGATCTGCGTTTTGTGGGATTTCTAAAATGTCATAATGATGCCTATAAATTGTATTTGTACATGATATTAAACGAATTTGTCGAAAAGAATTTTGTTGGGCATGCAAAACGAGACTAGTTGATAATGGAAAATTAAAGGTAGAAATACAATTCGAAATACGAGGAAATGAGGGTAACAAGTTTTTCATAATTTTCTGAATATTTTGTACAACCAATCAGAAAAACTGTTTATATATTATTAAGCACATGATGTTTATGATAATGGTTATTTTTTTCTATAATCATTGGGACAACTTTTCTTTTAATAAATAATTTTAAATTCGCGATCCATGTAAGAACTGGACAATTTTATTAATAAAAATTGGGATATGTATTATTAGAGTAAATTTAACAAATAAATTTCATATAAAATTATTTCTAAATTAAAATAACATATTTTACTGACTATATTATTGATTTTTATTACAATTTTAAAAAATCATACTTTAGTTTGAAGGAAGTTGGATTCCAAAATGATAAAAAAAAACATAGTAAATTTGTCCATAATAAATAATGACAATAATAATTATAAGAAATCATAAATGAATTTATAAATTTATTTAATAAAATATTATACAAATTATATCCCTAAAGAAAATAATACATTATTTTATTTTAAATGATTACATACTGGTCTGCTTTAATTTAAATAAAAGCTATACTCTATGATCAAATAAAATAATAAAAATATAAAAAATAAATAAATAATTTTAAAGAAATACAAAATAATATCAAGACTAAAAAAAATAATAAATTTCCAACTAATTAAAGATTAATTTTCCTGAATTTCATTTTTTTCAACTATGCAAAATTTAAAATTATTAATTTCATTTTGATAAATGTATTAAACAAATGATTTAAGAATATAATATCATCAGGAACTACAAATCCCATTGTTTTGTATCTAGAATAATAATTAGTTTAAATATTTATCATTCATTTATTGTTTAAAAAATGCAAGTACTTACCATGTGTATTATCTTTAAATTTCTTTGGTTTCAGAAAAGGCAAATTTCATTTGAATAAAATTCTTGTTATATTCATCCATTTTAATCATTTCATCATCTTCTTTATATTATTAAATTGAGATTCAAATTCCTTAGCAGTTGGATAATTGAGATGTTCAAAATTCATTTTTGCATTATTTCCTTGAGGAATTTCACATTTAATTTCAGGTTTATGCCCTTCACAAATTTCATTACATCATGTGAAATATTATAATATACCTAGTTAGAACTTCTAACACAAAAGAATAAATGTCAGATGCTTGAGTATATTCTCCTCTAAATAGAATTACACTATAAATTTTTTCTGGATCATTTTTCTAAAATCAGTTCAGTAATATGATATGGAAATATATTGACTAATTATGTTACCAGAATGAAAATCTTTATCCATTTCATGAATATTTTTAAGTCCATTTACAATATTTGATAGAATAATAAATTTTTCCTTCCAAGTTAATTGTTTAAACTTGTTATTCAATGCTTTTTGAAAATTACCATATTTTACATAATTTATAACTGTTATATATTTATTTTTGTTAAATTTTTATATATTGCAATTGCACTTTTATCTCGAAATTCAAGTTGATTTTTAATCTAAAATATTTATTAGCATAAAATAAACTCTTGCAAAAGATCATTTTTATTTGTGAAATTTGCCAAGACTTTTTAAGCAAACATACCATTTACCTTTCTTCTGCCAAAGTGTTTATCAAATCAATACTTTTTTTTTTTATAAGTGGAAATAATAAATCCATCAAGCCAATTTGCTTTATATACTATGTTAAACCTTCTTTAGCAAGGAATGTGACATTCTCAAATCTGGAATCCATTCAATAATTTCTTGAAATTTATTGCATTAATTATATTTGATAAATAAATTTATTCATTTCTTTATCTCCATTTGTCCATTTATCAAATTAATTTTGAAATTGTTTTGCATTGCATGAATGGCATCAATGTTTTCCTGTATTATCTTGATTGCATTTACTACACTTTTCAAAAGCACTGAGAATATTATTGATAAAAGAATTATTATTTGATAATGAATTAAATTGAAACATTAATTTAATAATTATAAAATTAAATAACCACTTGCTGTGATATAATTTATATTGATTAGTTTATTATTAATTAGAGAATTGTTATAATATTAAAACATTAATTTCAATAATTATAAAATCAAATACTCACTGGTTGTAGTATAATTTATATTGATTAGTTTATTATTGATTAGAGAATTGTTATATAATATTAAAACATTGATTTTAATAATTATAATATGATTAGAAATGTAATTTAATATATGTAATTTATTATTAACATTTATGATTTAAAATAAAGTTTAATATGACAATATGCCTACTCTTCTGAATCTTCCGATTTTTCCAATTCTTCCAATTCTTCTGTTTCTTCCATTTCTTCTGTTTTTCTTATTTCTTTCATTTCGCCAATTTCTTTAATTTCTTTATCTTTTTCCATTCCTTCTCTTTAAAATCTAAAAAAATATTTCTAAGAGCATTACCAGATTAAATAGATTCCATTTATCATTTATTATATGAATATAACTATATGCATAAATACAAGTAGTTAAGAGATGCGATTAGAGACTTAAAAGAAATTTCCCTAGCACAAATAATCCAAATACCCTCTTTGAAGTCAACGAACAACTAAGATATTTGAATTCAAAATTACCAACGCAAAGAAAGGGTCCAAGTCAATGAACTAATTCATAGCCTCCAATTAAAGAAACAAGAAAAGGTTAAAAAAATTACAAAATTTATAATTTTTAGCATTTTAATAAAATATTGAATCAAATCGCTTTCATTATTATAAATAAATTATTTTATAAATATAAATTTATATGAAGATATACAGTACACTCCCCTAGCAAAAGTATTTGTGGAATGATAAAATTCAAAAATAATTGCTAAAATTAAAATGCTAATTGTGGC